AAGTTGCTATCATTACATATCAAGCCATAAAGCCAGCAAAAACAACTTGCCATATCGGAAGTGTCTATGACACCCAAATTATCACTGCTTCACTTAGATGGCTAGACAGTTCCCATTTTTTTATAAGTATATCCCTGTAATATTCAAACACCCCTCTATCTAAAAACAATATGAGGAATCATCCTTGCTATAGCTACATGGAGATACAATCATGACAAGACACCAAGCCATGCTGCCACAAACACCCACTAAAATTAACACCGTAGTAAATACAAAGCTATCCACTTGGCACTTATCTATAGTGACTTACAACAAAGTATAGACCCTCTCAAAGTGTCCTAAGCAACTGGCCAGAGTACTCACACCTTTTGGGTAGAGAAGGGCGGAGTTTTAAATTAACCCTCATGAAACTGTGCCCAACTTTTTCAAACTATTGGAATTTTCTACTTAACAGATGATTTATTTTTAAAAATTCTTGCAGATTTATAATCAGGATAAAAAGTACAACACATTGATATAAGTAAGTTTTTGTTTTGCTGAACTTCATTTTTCATGTTGCGGACCCTATCTATTTCCTAAAATGGTATTTGAACCTCAAAAAATATATACCGGTATGTAATAAAAAACTTCAGCCCAGAGCGGAATTCGAACCCGTAACCTTATGCTTTTGACTTCTGAAACTTCAGGCATTATCCCAGGGGCGTATTTAGGAATATGGGGAAAAGGGTGCTCTGGGCGCGCGAAGCGCGCCGCGATTTTGGCCACACCCACTTTTACGGCGGTAAAACGGCCTTTTCCTACATTTTTGTCAATTACGGGTGGGGCCAAGATCATTTCAAGCATACTGCCATGTTACTGGTACTTCTGATTGCCCCTTAAAGCACTGGAAACTGCTGAAATTATGATCAGGGGGCTAGATCACTTTGTTAGGAGGCTTGGTAGTGATGCAAGAGTCCAGGATTTGAGTAATTTTTTCTGAGCCCAGCCATGAGGGGGGTGCTCAGCCCCCCCCCTAAATACGCCTCTGTATCCACTAGACTTAGACTACTCAGTCACTCCGAGGCTAGTGGTGCGTATTTATAGTTTAATTATTGCTATTAATTGTATTGTATTGGTCTGTGTATTAAATCTATGATTAAGGCCCCGTTTAGACTAATCCACTTCACTGAATCCGGATTGTTTTTGCTATTATCCGTTTCAGGTGTTTACACTAATCATGTCCAGCAGCTGTATTTTCATAAGATTTATATATCATTCGTTTATAGAAGTATCCACTTCGGTATCCGTTTACATTTTGCTTCGGATAGGTGATGCGTTTTCATGTATTAGACAGAAGCTGTATCAGAATCAAAAAGTCTCCGTTTACATGTGAAAATGGATTAGTGTAAATGGGGGGCCTAAATCTATGATTGCTACCGGGGCGTTTATTCGAATGCGGCTTCTATTTAAGGATTTACGGTATGATGTTTTAATAATGAGTCACTTCCTGTTGAATCTATGATCTAAACACAATAAGCAAAATAATGACTCTGAATAGGTCAGAGTTATTTTGAGACACTACAAAATTCATTTAAAAAAATCCAATTTCAATCAATCAGCTCAAACTTGCTACACAACATAAGAATAATGTATGTGTATTTATAGAAAAAATTTAAAAATTTCAGGAGCAAAACTTGAAATTCTAAAACCCCAATTTTAATCAGAATCAGTTCACAGAAAATAATTATAACAAAAATGGAGAATTCTCTCATAGCAAGTATTGATGAAATTTGGTCAACGACCATGCATGTACCAGATAGTACAGGGCATCAGAATCAGCTCAAACATGATAAACAAATAAAGCATAAAACACGGTGACCCTTTTTATACGTCACAGTATTGTTTTATAATGTATTTTGCTACCTACAGCTGGTACATGACACAATAAATTCCTTCTCAGTCTTTTTAATATGTAGATCTAGATCTAGATCTGACCCGTACAGACGGTACAGTGATCTGTAGATATCACTCCACTGACAAGTCTTCCTAGCTCTTATGCAGCCAGCCCCACCCCTAGGCTAAAGGGTGGGGCTGGCTGAGTGCAGTGAGAGTCTGACAGGCCAATTGTACTGGCATCATGATCGGAGTCATGCTAGCCCTCATCTTTCTTAGACATTGTGCTGGACAAAGTAAGTATAAATTTAAATGCTTTAGCATTTATTTTATAGTTAATATAGCTATAACAGTTCAGCCAATGTCCATCAATACAACTATCAACTCCACTGTCAATTTTACTTGTGAGGGTGTTGGTACTGAAATTACCTTTAGATTACAGCTCTATGGAGAAAACGAGACTAGAGGAGCAACTGATGAAGTTGTCATAGATAGAGGCTTTTTTTGAAACATCTAATGATAATGATGCAAGAACTGCTCAACTACTAGGAACAGCTTATGAATTGAACAATAATACAAGTATTATATGTAGAGTTGATACCAATAATGCTAGCCTCTCCAGTGATGTAGCAATATTAATGATACAAGGTTAGTATTTGTCCTTGCAAACTTTTGTTCTACATAAAAATGGCACATCAACTAAAGTGCAATGTCAGTGTCTAAACTGCTATGTGTACGTGCTAAGTGCAATGCTAGCTGAAATATCCCTCCTTAAATGTAACCATGATTTTTACACATAAGCCTATCAAATAATAATATTATGTTTGTGTTAATTCATTATAGGTCTATTGGATAGTGTTGTTGATCTGGATTATACCTTTATTAATGGATCCAATGTATTATTAACATGGACAGCTCCTTATACACTGGATAATGTACCTATCACTGGATACTATATAGTAGTTAATGAATTAGTGAACATTACTACTATTAATGATAATACTAATATTACATTATCAGCTGCTAATCTTGATCCTTGTCTATTAAATAATGTATCAGTTTCTCCTATTAATGATGTTGGAATAGGTTCATCTAATAATATCAGTTTCTATAATGAAACAGGTTAGTCCTACTATGGCTTCATGTATATGTTTACCACATTCCCTTTTAAGTCTCTCCTGTTATATCAGTACATGATGTACATTTAACACCAGTTTGTGATGAAGGACTAATATACATCAGCATTAATGTAAGCATAGTCATCAGATATTCCACTCACATGATAAGCATGGTGTTTTTATAGGTCAGTGCTATATGTGAAAGGGAGTATCCTGATTCTATAGCAGTTATTATATTCGGTAGTGATAGCAGCAGAGTAATAAAAAATGTTACTATTATACCACAAATTAATTATCAACTGATGATAGCAACTGGAAATACTTCAATACCATCTTGCAATGATACATTTATTGTTAATGTATCATAGAGTAATACTGAAGGAATTCTTAATGTAATGTCACCTTTTAAATTTGGTAATAAATTATCTTCTTTCGAGAATTTTTATTTTTCATTTTCATTAGTTTATCTTGGACCAGCTACTAAAATTAACTTTTCAATTGTCAACTGTTCTACTATTGATATAACATGGACCGCTCCTACAGTTGATGATGGAGTATCTATACTGTATTACATACTAAGAATATATGATGCTATTACTGGTAGTCTAGTGGATACTGTATCAGTATATGATACCAGTTATCAGTTTGTGGATAATAATTTATTTGATCATTATTATACATATGCTATAACTGGAGTTAGTAAATTAGGAGAAGGAATATCTAATAATAATACATTCTCATATTAGAGAGGTACAATATTTTATCTGTATGTGGGTATTTCAAAGGCTTAAGTGCATATGTGTCTGTTGTCTAATTAGACTGAATTTTAATAATAATTGTGCATGCAAAATAGAAGTAAATATATTTAAGCTTTAATAGTTCCGAGATTGGCAGTGGAGACTAATTTTGTGGCGATTTATACACAAAATCAAACAGTTACAGTCAGTACTGTTCATTACAATATCTCAGTAAGTAATAATTAATCATTATTATTATTATTGTCTTATATCAGATTGCAATAGGGAGTACTAGTAGAGCTCCTGTAAATGTTAGATTTACTATCGAGTGCAATGAAACTGGAGTTGAGTATGATAATACTATACTAGTGGAGAATGCTACAACAGGATCAGTACCAGTACCTCTTAATGATAATTGTTCATTTATTACTGTTGTTAGCAATTGCACTGGTAGTAGTGAACCATTTAAAGAATCATTTAGTAAGTATACATGTACATCAAGAGTAGATAATGTATCTACTCTTGATGTACATGCAGTTGTTAATTAATTAATCAATCACATATTGCCATTAATAGACACTACTCCTCCTAGTGCTCCTACTATCAGTAATGCACCATCACCTACTGATCTACCTACATTGGATGGTAATAACTGAACTTTATTTATTATACACTATACTTTTTGTAGATACTATTGTTATAATTGGATCTACGCTTGGAGCAATAGTAGTTTTGACGATCGTTCCAATACCAATATTGATAGCTTATTGTTTATGTAAACATAGATCTACTGTAAGTAATTCCCAAACTGTTTTTTAAAAATAGTTTACATGAATAGATTGTAACGACATAAAAGATTACAATATTTTTATTGTTCTAGACTCATGTTGTACAAAGAAATGGCAAAAATCAAGGACAGGTATAGTGTCAATTTATGCATAACAATAATTAATTTAATTTTAGCAGGATCAAGGGGATACTAAACTCTAAATAAGCATATTTACTTTTGTATGTTGTAGAACAAATTTATAGCTATCTATTTATTTTGACTGTTTTTTAACCTTCTAGATTAATATTATGTGATTTCTTCATTGTGTTTAGAGCATTTTAAACTTGATTATAAACTACATTTAGTGGGAGCATGCATTTTCATAAACTAAACAATAATGCAGCCATAGCCAAAGTAGTATCTATTCAGTGTTCATATTGGTTTACTTCCACATCACTAACTCTTCTTGTCAGTGTTAAACCTAGATCTACAATTAAAGTAAATGTGTCTTTGATTATTTCAAAATTATACATGGAGGTACAACTATAAATCTTGTATTTGCATGGTAAAGTTGAAATTAAATTCACTTTAATGTGTATGTAATTGTACAATGCAGATTATCTACTGTTAATTTCACAAGTCTATTTCTTGATTAATGACTGCTACCTTCAACTTCTCCATAAGCTGGATTATTGACTAATTCTCCTTAGCTACCTTTTACTTCTCCATAAACTGGATTATTAATTACATCCCTTCTGTTTCCTTCTATTTCTTCATAAACTGGATTACTATAATCATTAAACTGTTGATCTGGTATGCTTCATTAGTTGCAGTAGATGCTTTCTGTTTTTGTAATGAGGTAGCTCCTGTTATTAATATTTAATAAATAAGTACATATGCACACACACACACAACACACTATAAATACTTACTACCGTATAGCGGGTTATTTTCGGTGGTTGAAAATTTCGACTGAAACTAGAAATGGCTTTAGAATAAAAATTCGTTGGTTTTATTTTCGACTAGACAAAAATAATTAATCTTATGTCTTCACTAGCATCTGTAGGACTGATAGCATTAGAAAGAGGTCCCCTGGTCCTGTAGGGTCTGGAAGAGATTCTTTAGAAGGTGAATACCGTTTTCAAGGCCATCCATGCTTGTTATCATGTTATTAATAATTTATTATGGTCACGCCTATCTTCAGAATTAATTTTCGTTCAGAATTAATAGCAACGAAACAGACGAAAATAAGCACCAGTCGAAAATTACCCGCTATACGGTATGCAATTTCCTTTTGTAGATAATGGCAGAACAAACTGATACAGAGAGAGACACACATCATCAATGATAATATGACGACACCCAATGATGTCAGGATTATAACTATAACATACAAATGGTACCTGATAATAGTCAATGCAACTAACCAGCATTAACCAGCATTAAGACCTGCTAAAACAGTTGTGACAGTAGAGGATGACTGGGTAGTAGTATTAGTAGGTGGAGGAGGAGCAGTTGTAGCAGTGAGATTGGTTATTATGAGGATATGTATCTATTATAAGTAACAATTCATAGTATGTACTAATTCATAGCATGTACTAATTATTGGACTCGCCACGCTTGCGTAGGCGGGTACTAAGCAGTTGGGTTGTCATTCTGTCTGTCATTCTGTCACGAAAATTCCTGTTAATTCCTAGTCAATATCTTTTTTACTGAGCTCTCCTGAGTTATAATTCTTTTTAAGCTTTCAGAAAAAGATAATTTATTTAGCTCCGTTGTGTTTTCATAGCAATCCGTGGTAGCAAAAGCTGATAATTTCAAGAATAGACCACTTTTCCTAGCCAAATCTTCGTGTTTCACTCTATTTGGTCAAGATTAGCATTGATAGGTAGAGAAAAGTACATAGATTAAAAAATATGTGGGAATTTTTTAATCTCTTTTTTGTTTGCGAGTTACAGTTGCTCAAAGTTTGTGATTTAGCCTCTTCGAAAAATTTTCAGGCAGCACTGGGGAAAGCAGGAGTAACCAAACTATCTCAGTCTCTTTTAAATATCTAGGCAAATTTTTTGTGCTTACTCTTTCTTTGAATAGAGCTTCAGATGCTAAAATAAATTCCAGCTTTTCTTCTTTCTCCTACCCACGTGCCATG